AAGGAGATTGTGCAGCTGGAAGGCACAAGTGAGGAGGGGAATTATCATTTATTAAAGTGATACCTCGCGGCTAGATGTCAAGACAAGGAAGCTGCAAATAAAGAATTCTTTTCTAAGGAAGTTAACAAGCAGAAATTCAAAGGCAAGAAGACTAAAAAGACCGAAGAGATCGTATGATATTCATGAGGTCAACTTGACATTAACACGAAAATTGTAGATATTATAGTGAGAACCCATTCAGACAATAAAAACTAACTTGGTTGCCTTAATTTTCCAAACCAACTTACTGCTCTCAGTGCCACTGGTTGGCACTGATGACCTAATCTCTCCTTCTAGCCTATAAATAGCCAAATAGTGGAAAGCCCTACACGTCTATTTTCCTTTTCAACTTCCGTCCTCAAAATTTGCTAAGATTATCCTTTTATGGTCAGTGCCATTATCATCAAGTTTCAGCACTTTGGCGTTGTCATCACATAGGTGAGTCGTCTATATTCCTTCCCTAGACACTTGTTTCTACCGAGAGACTCTAATCAACCTTATACCTCCAAGACATGGTGGTGCACCCATTCGAGCATATTAACTATGACGATGCTAAACCATGCCATCATCGATGTTCCGACGATCCTCAACCATGGATTACAACTACATCGATAGCACAGACCACACCTGAATCATGCATCGCCTTCTCCTCCCACTCTAGCAATCAAGTCGTATATGCTATTTTTTGTCCCTTCTCAGCTACTGTCCTTACTCCGGGCTGCCTAGTGAGCCTCTCACTACTCCTTTATATCTTTGTCATCTAATCTCGTTTCAACGCCCAAGATATAATCTTTATAACAAGGAACCGGTTCAAACCATGGGCCTTTGGTCTAGAATCCAATGTCCCACATGAGACGGCCTAAGTGCCCAAAGTGGTAAGCACTGGTAGCCCTTGATCTTAGATCGGGCGGCTCTGGGTAGATCACTCATATATAGTCATTGGTTAGTTAATTTTTCATTTAATAGTTAGATTTCTTTTTTTATTTGTAGCTTCCTTGTCTAAGCCATTCATTTTCTATTCCTTTATTGTGGCAAGTCATTCCAAGCCATTCAACCCGGTTCCCTTATATCCAACTACCATAAGTTCAAGTCTTGAGAGAGCAAGACCTCCTGGTTAAGAAAGAAGAGATGAAGAGATGGGTGACTCCATGAATGCTTCTTCGATTCTTTGTAAATCAAATAATTCCTCCCTTGTTCTTCAAACGCTACACCTAGTGTGCCGATCTTCTTTCACGACTTTGCATGAATGAATTCATAGAAATGATCAAAAGGAAATTGTAAAAGCATAATACACACTTATAGTTGGTAGCATATATTTCGTTTAATGAGAATTCATGTAATAGACATCTAAGTTTCAACCTTGTGATTTTGTCTAGCCTCATATTCACACCTATCCCCTTCCTCCTGTTTTAATTGTTTAAGGTATAAGCTGCAAATTGCACTTATAGTTTCTCCACTTTTTAGTTGCGTGTTGGTTAAATATATTGCTAAGGGGAACTCTGCATGAAATAAACAAGCTGGGAGATAAATGGCACAGTCAAATGCCAGCAAGAAGCCAATAATGCATAGCTCCTCACCACATGGATACTAGCGATTGATCACACTTGGCAAGGAGGACCAACACTGATTAGAGAAGAGGGTAGATCTGGCTTGATGTTGTCATAAGAGAGGCATGGTCATTTAAGTACATATGTCTATATGATGTACTTACAACGTTGTTCCTTGCAAAATATTTTGACTTATTTTTGGGAAAAGCCCAAGGCCATATATTAAATAAAAACAGTGATATAGGCGAAGGTGTTCAATCCTTCGATGAGATGATAACTATCGTTTTTGGTGGAAGTCCACTTTGACAATCGGACTACGAACCTGTGAAGACTTTGCACCTGAGCAATCGCTTTGAGAGGTTACTGACCACGCCGGAGCATCATCAACTTGACCACGAGGGTCTATTTCGTGCACGCAAACGAAGAATAAGTAATAAACCGAGATTAAAATCTGGATATTATGAATTTAAGATGAAAGCTTTATTGATGAAAGTGGGGTTCTGAAGCGTCTTGGCCTGGTCGTTGGACACAAACGAAGTACATGAGTTGCAGCTATAGTGAACTTTAATCTAAACAGAACCCAAATCTAAATGACGCCCTGAGGGTTGTGTTTATAGGAGAAAAGAGAGGAAATTTCGTCCACCTTTGGCAAGGTGGTACTAAAATCCCTCCTGAGTCGTTTCCCCTATAATACGAACTCTAAAACTGCCGATAAAGAGCTATTTCGAACATACAAGGATCTGGCACAAAAATAAGGTGGCGTAGCACCTAAATAAAGCTATAGACAAAATTTATGAGAGGAAATCTTGTATATTTCATCCCGGTCCTTGTATGTCATCATGGTGGCTTCAAAGTGTTGAAAACTCCACTGGAATTCCCTGCGCGCCCGTTTTCTTCTCCACACTTGATCATGCTCCAGTGTTCATAGCTCTTGTCCATGCTAGGCCCTTCATTCATAAATAACACAAATGTATCTAATTTAGGCATCATCATATTCTCGGGAACATTAGAATCATTACCAAGGAACATAAATACCTGATAATTTAATTGGTGTGCGCGAGCTCTAGTATTTGGTCCAGTATATGTAGTAGCAAGTGGTAGGGGTGTAACTATGATAGGGATGTTCTCATCAACCGGACCATACAAGAATATGAAATTACATGGAAGTGTTTGAAGAAAACAAGCATCATCTTCCTATTGCATCCACTAGTGGCACACTGTTAGAAGAGGTCCTTCCCACCTCTAGGCCTCTATCTTACTAGAGCAACCTTGTTGAAACACATGAGGTTGTAGAACAAATAGTAGAAATGTCACCGATGTAGACCAAAAAACATCGACAACTATGGTATGGATAGATCGTCGCCCCCAAGAAGCTATCACTAAGGAAGGCCATAATAGAATCCCAAATCTGGCTTGACAGAGTAGGGGAACACAAACCTCACAAGTTCTATGAGGAAGACGCATCAAGATGAGCTTGATCGGGTGGGTGTGTACAAGAGAACAAAAACAAATCTCAACAACAAATCCCTGATGATCGACACTATCCTCCAATTTGCCGATGTCACTTTGAGGAAGGACATCAGCATGGGGAAAGTGAGGAACCATTATTCCGATTGCCGCCGCTGCCCCAACTTTACAAGTGATGAAGAACTCGAAGACCCTACAGAACACAGGCCGGACATACAAAAAAATGTTTTAACCTTTCAGGCTACATTGGAGTATGTTCTAATTGATGATTCTGCTTCATGCCATCGAACTAGTATTTGTCTAGCTGATATGTTTTTGCGATTTAACAAGATTTAGCTTATTTTGTTTTGTTCAATATGTTCTAGTGATTGTGCTTCATGCACATGCAACCAGCATATGTCTGGCTAATATGGTTTTCGAGATTTAACAATATTTAACTTATTTAGTTTTGCCTATGTAATAAGGCAATTTTAAAACCACGAGTGACTGTTGTAAACTCCAAAATTCATAATGATTTCAAACATTAGAGATCCACGATGCAAATAAACAAGATTGGAAAGGTAGACGGCGAGTTTTTTCACTCTCTTTTGAGATGATGGATGTCTCGTGCAACAAATAACAATTTTTAATGGCAAAAACCCAAAATTAAATATTTCAATGGTAAAATTATATCTCCAACTGCCAAATTTTGCTTGTTGGTGGACCTGTAAAGTGGTATTCCTTTCGCCTTAAATACAGGATCCTACGTAGGAAAATGACATCCATTAAATGTTTTAAGATACTTCCTGAAACATTAGAAATCTTTTTATTTTCGATCATTTAAGTCTTATACGATGCAAGGTGTTTAGGAGAGCTGCTTAAAGAAACAAACCAGTCTTTTCATAAGCACTGATGCCTATTTGTGTACGGTAGGCGTCTAATTAGGTCTTGTATAAACCAGTCTTTTAAACATCTACCCTATATAAATAGACACCGAATGCTTAAGAAAAAATCTGGTTTATTTCTTCAAGCATTTTTCTAAGCATTTAGCATTATACAAGGCCAACCCATCGGGCGAAGCTTACAGCAGTGGAGGGGAAGGAGAAAGTGGCGCAGGCAAATCCACCTCAGTTGAACCACCCAAGCGACAGGCTGCCCCGAACGGCTCACAAGTCACAAGAAGGCCCAGCCAAGTCAATCACAGTGCTAAACCATTTCATATAGTATTAAATAAATAGGTTCATGTAAATATGACCTTTATTGTACAGAAAAAGTGGACGGGCGTGTACCATTGCTCATGGAAGAGTTTAAACTAAAAAGTAACACTAATGCCATCATCAATTCCATTAAACGGACTGTAAATCCTCCTAACAAGAAGCAGCTGAGCAAATAGCCAACATGGAACAAACAATTCCATTAAAGAGTTTACCATTGCTCGTGAAAAAGTTTAAGCTAAAAAATAACACTAATGCCGGCCTGTAAATCATCAATTCCATTAAACGGACTGTTAATCCTCCTAATAAGCAGCAGCTGTGCAAATAGCCAACATGAAAACGTACTTTAATTAAATCCTCCTAAGCAGCAGCTGAGCAAATAGCCAACATGAAACAAACAAGAAGAAAATATCTAATGGAGTATATATTATTGTTTCAATTCATGCACGGTATCAGTTGATTCGGATAACAAACAGGATAAACAAAGATGAAAATAACAGGGACTGCAGTACACGGCATTGAGCAAGCGAGCCAGAAGCGCACCGGCGCATGCAGTACGTCCAACAGAGCAGAGCAGACTAAGTTAACCCTGATATAAATCTAATGATGAGTATACCCTCTAAGCCCCCTCCGTTCTCAGCTTAACCCGCCCTCACCGGCTCTTCTTCTACTGGGTTTGCCCTTTATGTACACATGAGCAGCTGGGTTGATTTGCCCCGAGCACACACCAACTAGCTAGCAAAATCCTCGCCTCTCACCACTCCTCCGCCATGCTTGGATCTTCGTTGAGGTCAAACAGCAAGTGGCCCTTCTCGTCCCGGTAATTGTTCTCGGTCTTTTGATCCTGCACAACATCAACCAAAATGATTTTAGTTGGAAGCTCCAGGAGAATCGAGAAAGATATGAAAGAACACTGCTTAATCAAATACAGGATGACAACAACCAGACGGATCTCGGCAAGATGCGAGATCCGAGGGAATCACGTGGAATCACTGTTAAGAAATCATCGCGGAATAAAATAGTTGTACTACTCCGTACTCGCATAGATGCAATGCAAAGGCATCGAGACAGCTGCTACTAGCAACAAATAAGCCAGCACACTTATACGAGTAGTAATTTCTTTGAGAAGAAAGTTACTGTAGTAGAGTTGGACTTCGTTTTTTTAGGAAAGAAGTCGCAGCCCTGGCGGGCCTGGTGCGGTGACATGATACCACACCAGTCGCGACTCACGAGCCCATGCTGGACCAGGGAGTGGTCACTGCGGCATCCAATGACCACGTTGGCGACCGATGGGCTGCACCCCACCCCACCCCTGTGCACGTCGGTCGCCAAAGGGACCCGCATCCCGGACTGACACGTAAAGGCACACGCACCACTTTACAACAACCCTGCCGCAAGCAGAGCCAGGAAAAAGTTTATGTTTCCCTATTTAAAAAAGCTTCACCCAGCTTCCAATCTTCGCGTTAATTTCCACTGAAGATAAACGACGACAAAAAAGGAAAAGCCCGATGACATGCGGTGTCAAACTAGCCATGGAACTCCGTGGGGCCGGACCCACGGGAAACAGCGCCGGAACCCCGAAGGAAGTCTACAATCTTGCGGAAGCAGCTCTCCTGACGTACGTTACACGCCGTTGGGGACACTAGCATGTGCGGCTGATTCACAGCGAGCCCACCATCGCCGAACGGCACCCTGCGGCACGGCAGAGGATCCGCGTCCCAATCTTGCAAGGCAAGTCAGAAGGAAACGAAATTTACCCCTCCAGGGTGAGAAACACGCGCGGAGAGTGCGGGAAACAGGCGGCCCAAGATGACACGCGGGACCACGCGCAGAGGAAGGAGCGAAGCCATCACATGATGGCGATGGGGATTCATTCGTCCACAGCGAAAACACACACACACACAACATGTACTAATTGAGTAATTCCAAATCCGCAGCTAACGACACACACAATAATTACTCAGTTTTGCTAGAACTCATCTATATAAGACATAATTTGGTCTCATTCACCTTTTATAGCCATTGGATATGATGCTATAAGATGTGTGTGCTAATGTGGGTTGTATCTGTTCTTGTTTTCCAGGTAAATGAGACCAAATTATATCTCATCTAGATAAGTTCTAGGTACTCCCATAATTAATCAATTCGCCTTCCAATTCAAAACCCCGCAACAATCGACTTTACGAAATCACTCAAGATTTGAACACTTAAAAAAAAAGAAATTACTCAAGATTTCACGCTTGCTGCTTCCTTTTTTCTCGCCCTATTGCTGACTGGATTGGATGGAGCGAGGAATAAATAAAAGCGATAAATGCGGCGTATAACACAACTACTCCATCTATCTACCCTGCCTCGTCGCCCATCGGCCACCTCCAGCTACACTAGACACGGTGCCAACGGCCAAGGCAAGGGTCCACACAAAAGCCATACGCTCACGAAAACGACCCCGGGGGCCGGAGTCCGTTGCCAGAGAATGAATGATTTATCCTCTCCGGCGCCGGAACACAAGAACTCCATCCCCTACCCAGCTCATACTGTCCGGTTAGAATCACAATAGCCCCCGAGATTCAAACGAAGAACACCACGCAACCCGTATGAACACATCAACGATGGGACGGCCAAAAAAAGATAACGGCAAAGGAACTTCCTCGACAGATTGATGAGTAACGAGACAGAGTCTCGCAGAACCGAGGGGGGAATACAGCTGCAATTCACGCGACTTCAACAAGATTGGCGTGCAAGAAAGGCCTCCAGAGTCCAAAAGCGAGACGAATAAACCGCAAAGAATGAGAAAGCGATAAGGCGATTGAAAAAAAACTCACCTCAAGTTTAACCGCGGGTTGCACGGCGCCGGCGCCGGCGACGGCGATGGAGACGTCCGCCCGCGCGCGCTTCGCCGGCGAGCTGCACCCCTCGTCGCCGCTGGAAGGCACTCCGGATCCGCCCGACCCCTGCGCCTTGCGCTTGGCCGTCGACCGCGCCACCTCGTCCCCGCTCGAGGACGCCCCTGATCCAGCGGCGTTGGCGTAGTCGAAGGGCGTCTCCGGGCTCGATGCCGCCATGGGGCCGTCCGTCCACGCGGCCGCCGCCGCCTGCGCCTTCTCGCTCACGCGCGGCCGCCGCCGCGACCGCGCCCGGTCCATGCCGCTCGTGGAAGGGCCGGATCCGGCGGCCGAGACGTAGTACGGCGGCGTCTCCGGCCTCCGCGCCGCCAAAGGTTCGCGCTTCACCTTCGTGACGCGCGGGTGCGACCGCGCCCTCTCCTCCCCGCTGGAGCACGCGCCGGATCTGGCGACAACAGGCTGCCCCAGCCGCGCAAAGGGACTCTCCCACGACAGCAGCCACGCGGTTCCTTTCGCCACCGCACGGGGCGGCAACCGCGGCCGCTTCGGCCACCCCTCCGGAATCGGCGGCAGCTCGTCCTCCGCCTCCTCCGGCCGCTGGAGATCCGCCGCCGCCGGGGCGAGGTCGCCGGACGGGCGCGGAACCCAGTCCGGCCACCGCGCCAGCGTCCTGCTCCGGAGGCTGAGAAGTATCTCGGCGGCCGCGATGGCCATGCCCTGCTCGTCGTACTCCGCCATGGGGAGAGCCGCAGGAGACGAACTCGCGCACGCCGCCGCCCTGAGATGGATGGGAGGTGTGATTTCTTTCTTTTCTCTGGCAGAAATACAGGAAAAGAGGGAGGCGACGGGAGGGCGGGTGGCTTTTATAAGTGGATGCGGAGACGGAGGCGGACGCGAGTTGGGCGAGGAGGAGGAGACGGACAGCAGTGGCCGCCGCCTAGAGCCCTAGACCCGGTGTTTCTGGACCCGTCTCACCGGCCCCTGGGCCCCCTGCAATTAGCTTGCGGGTGGGTCAAGTCGAGGCCGGGCGAGTCGGTAAACTGCATGAGCTTTGAGTTCGGGAAATCGTCTCCCTGTTACGTGGGTCCGTCCCGTCGGAGTAGTTCTATGTAAGGGAACTGTCTCGCGACTCGATTGGTGGGGAGCGGAGGAATGTGTGTTCGTACTCTGCGTTGTATAGTGCCCTGCTTTTTTTTAATGGCAGCAAGGTGGGTCCGAGCGAAAAGGCATCCGAGTTTATTAGGGCAGGCCGGATCCGGATGTGGATGCATCTCGCTCTCATGTATCCATCCGTAAACTGCTCAAACTTTTTTTTTGAGGGCTGCCCAAACTTATAAGAGAATGTTAATTCCCTCCCCGCTAGGGTTTCTGCCATCTCGTCGCCTCCACTCGTGTTGAGTTTTCCCTTCCCTTCCCCGCCCTCTCTTGCTTGTTCTTCGCTCGGGCGGGACAAGGGGCGATTGTGCATCGTCGCCCGACCTTGGTTAGGGTTCTCGTGGTGATCGGGTGTTAGTATTTTTATCCCGATAGATACTCTTGGGCTAGGGTTTCATGGCAGTTGAGACATTGAAGGTTGCGACGATGGACCAAAGTGATCTACAAGCAATGATGAAGGAATTATGCCTCGATGGAGATTATCTGGATGTTGTTGTGTTTGAGAGCGAGGTGCCGCAATGGATGGAGGCAGCATGTTGGATGACTATAGCCGGATAGGCACAAACATAGAATAGAGTAAGTTTTGGTTTTATATGAACATGCGATTGTCATGGGACGTACCTCAAGAAGTGAAGATCAAGTATATGGATTAGAACCTTTACACAATGCAGTTTTCTTGCCTCGTGACTAGAAAAAGGAGATGAAAGTGGCTCCATGGACATACAAAGGCTTCGCCCTAGTTCTAGCACCTTATGATGGATTTACAAAGCCATCCACATCAAATCTATGTCATGTGAATATTTGAATTCAGATTCACGACCTCCTGGACGTGTTTATCAGTATGTTAAAAACCCTTACTAGCATGGTTGTTGGATTCATTACTGCTGAGTAAGCATCTCAGGATTTTTCAAGAAACTTTTTTTGCATGAGTATTAAACTGGATGTTCGAAAGCCACGCAAGAACAAAGTTTTAGTCATACATGGTGAGAAGCATGTTCTCGTGAAATATGATGTTTGTCTGATTGGTGCTCAGTATGCCAACATGATTGGGTACATTTTCAAGAAGCATGGTGATGGCATCCATTTCCAAGCTTTCTGGTCTTCAAGAATCTACCCGCTCATTGGAGTTGGTGACCATCTCTAAGATGATGCTACGAGCGAGGACCCGCCAAAGGACGAAGCAATCAGGGCAGAGGCTCATTTGAGTTTTATGCAAAACACACGGGAGGATGATTTTGATAAGGGAGAGAACGAGGTCCATTGCCAGGAAGACATTTAGGAGGAAAACTCGAATGCGTGTTAGCCTTATTAAAGCACCGAAAATTAGTTGTAGTTGTTGTTTACTAATGCAAGCAACAAAGGAGGGGGTGATATGGATATACTAGACGCAAAACGTAAAAAGAAGAGCGTGTTTCTTACTTTGTTACCGCATGAGGGCACTTCTACGAAGGTTGGGTGGCTAGTGTAACAGTTTGATGATCCAAATGCACCAAGTTTGCCCAGCCACACTCCCATCCCACCCCCAAAAAGAGACCCCCAGTAGGTCTAAGAACGATGGCAATGGCGAAGGAAACATGAATGCTTTGGGAAACTCAAAATCGACTGGCTCCGCGATGAAGTAACGCCTGAGCCTTAGCCTCAAACTATAGGGGGTTGGGGAACGCTAATAGTTTGTGCTTTGTTAGACGTTTAGCATAGATTTAACTCATTGGTGTTTTGTGTCGGAGACACAGTTAGAACACTTCTCGACAGAGTGTTGGTATTGTTGTCTTCATATGGAATCGGTTATGGTGAATCCTAGCGATGGAAGGAAGGCTAGTGTTATTTTATTTTGGAATAGAGAGTTGACGTTCCCCGTTGTGTATGGTGAGTTCAAGCTGGAAGGTAAACATACGACATGGGAACATATGAGTTACTTAAAGGTCCAACATGATTTACCCTGGCTAATGATGGGTGATTTGAATGTGATACTGCTTGATCATGAAAAAGAAGAAGGAATCAAACTGAATAAATGCAAGCTTTCTAGGAGGAGCTTATGACACTGATCTAGAGGTCATGGGGTTCCCTGAAGATAAATTTACTTGGCATCGAAGTCGTATAATGGAAAAGGTTGGACAAGGGTGCATGCAACAATGGTTGGTAGCTAACATTCCCTTATGAAGGGTTTCAAAGTCTCGAGTATAATCACTCTGATCATCCACTATTATGGTGGACAATAACTTCCACCAAAATTCAACAAGTAGACAGAAAGGCTAGGGGGCCTTTGAGGTGTGTTGGTTGCAGGAGACCTAATTTAGTGACATGGTCCATCGAGCATGGGAGGAATCATGTTTGGATGCAACGAAAGGTGGTGTTGGGCAAGCTAGGTACATGCATGGAATTTTCCATGACTAGGACCAACATGTTTTGAAGAAACCGGGAAAAAATGATTGAGAAAGGCTCAGTGAGACCTAGAAAAAATGTGATGTGAGCCCATGTAGATGACGAATCAAAGTAAGAAGAAAGGACATTCTTGAACTTATTGGGTTTTTACTTGAACTGGAAGAGATCCAGTGGATGCAACACTCGGGAGTCATCTTGCTCAGAATTAGTGACAAGAACACCCCATTTTTTGACCCTTATGGTTGATCAGGGCAAAATCGTATAAGTATAAGTCGTTTAAAAACAAACACAATTTATGGGTTGAAGGTATTGTTCTCCCAATACTCTTATGCGATCATATTTCGCTAACCTATTCACTTAGGAAACGCGAGTAACTGATCTTACATTACTAGAGAAAGTCCAATGCAAGGTCTCCTCTCAGATGGATGACATGTTGCTAGGGGGATACATGCCATATGATGTAAAGCATGTTATTGATAAAACATGTGATTTTAAAGCCCCAAGACTGGCAGCTTGCACATAATTTATTGACAAAATATTGGCACCTATCTAGGGTGGAGGTAACACAACAACTGCAAGTGTGATCAATTCTAGCACTACTCATAAGAGGGTAGAATGACACAATTGTGGTGTTAAAAGGAGCTATATGGACCTAGAGGGGGCGAATAGGCGTAATTATAAATTTAGTCGACTATTAGTGAGTTTAGACTATGTGAATATAAATGTGAGCCTAAAAAAGTTGCTACAGTGAGATAAGCAATACGATATAATGTGTTCAACAAGTTATACTGAATGCAATGCCAAGTGACCAGTGTAAACCATAGGGAGCTGGAAATAGAGATAAACAAAGACACGTTGAAGAGAATGTATTCCGATGTTCACCTTCTTGGAGGTAAGCCGGTCAATGTCGGGGAGATGGGTGTTACCACGAAGGCAAACCAACACCAAGGATCACCCTATTCTCATCCTTGAGATATCACAGCAAATGTGATTCTAAACCACTAGTGGTAAACCTTGAGGTGGCTTCCAAACCTTTGCAAACTTCACGATGGTAAATCACAAGTTGATTCCTCGCGGAAGAATCCTACCTCCTAGGAGTCTCCAACCTCCAGGTGTAAGAAGATCAAGGGGGAAATGCTATTAAAACTTGCTCAAATCACAAATTACTTTTTCCAAAAGAGAGAGGAGGAGTGGATCTATGCTTCAGGTGAAATCTCTCTCAAGAACTATCACAAATATTCTTAGAATCTTCGATTTGGTGTGGGGAGAAGTAGAGGGAGCTTTTTCTCAAATCTAGGGTTCTTCCTTTTGTGTTAGTCAACCTCTCCACTAAGTGGCGGAGGGGCATATGTGGTGGTGGGAAAACTCTAGCCGTATGGGCTAAAAACTTACGGGCCGGAGAGTCAGGCCTGTTTTGGCTCGAACAGTCTGGCCACTAGGACTTTTTGCAGGATAAAAAAAGTATGAAGGAACATACGTCGCTCGTGGAGGAGGTTGCGAGAGATAAGGGCATATATAATGTGTAACCTCAAGCCGCCCCATCCATTCGAACTGCATAGGTTGGACATGTTTTTCCATTGAACGCAGTTCTATATCAGTCTGCTCGCTGGTTCGAATGTCCTTTTTCATGCAAATTGAAAGCAAACTGGAGGGATTACGGGCGTCTGAACTGTTGCCACGTACATGTCCGAAAACCTTGACCCACCCTAAACCCTCCCCCTCGCTCGCCCCCTTTCCTGCCCGAAGCGGTTGCCGACATTCATTCCTCTCTAAAGCGTCAACTCCACATTTACACCAGCCCAGAGCGGACATGACCTCTCACTGGCGCTAGCATTGAAGAAGTTCACCGGTCGAGAGCGTCGCGCATGTTGTGTCCTCGGTGTCTGCACCTGTTCAATGTCAGAGAGGCATTACTAGATGGGATGGACATTTGCCGCATTCAAATGGTATGCTGGGATTACCTTTGTTTTGCATCTTGAATAATTAATTGGTTATAGTTGTGTGAATCAGCCGATGTAGATGCTAGGATTTGATCCTCCTTTCCAAAAAAAGTTAATCTTCATCTAGTTGGACATGGGTACTTCTCTCTTTTCAACATTCAGTTCAAGAGTTTCGTCTTGTGTTGTTCCTTTTCTCCCATCGTCCAGTCGAATGTGTCCATGCCTCCTTTCCACATCTCATCACTTGCAGGCCTACTTGTT